TCTCCAGCACCACAGCTCAAAGGCATAAATTCTCTTTGTATCATTCCTATCCACTGTCCAACTCTCCAATGCATAAGACGTAATTGTAAAGACTATAGCCTAACACTAATGACAATACCCAAAATGTAATTGCATTTTCCCCACTTCCTCCCTGAAATGTTCGTTTTCATTAATCCTCTTCCGGCTCTTCCTGTTCTCTGGACTTTATCTTTGGGCAAATGCTGCTCTTTTGACCATCTGTGGTTGATTATTCTGAAGAATAAATGTCTATGGGATGTTACTGGTCACTTTAGAGGCCTGTGTATTGTTTGCCTGAAAGTTGAGCCCTGGGGGTGAATTTTGTCACAGTTTGGAAGGATAACAAAGAACTGTGGTCTTGGGAATTCCACTGGTCTCTATCAGTGCAATAAGCCTGACCTTTGAGTCTTGTCCCACCCCAACTCTATCCAGCATCTCCCACTGAGACCCCTTTACAATGGTGAGAGGTAATCGCTGGGCACCATCTAGTTCTGCTGGTCTCAAGGCTGTGACAGTTGAGCTTGGAGTGATCCATTAGTACGTTGGACAGTTTGTTTCAGTGTGCCTTTGTTTGTCTTCCCTCCTCATTGGGAGGGAGAGAGAGAGATAGAGAGCATGCGCGTACAATAGTTGTGCCTTATATGGCTACTCACACAGGCTTTCAATATCCCAGTCACAACTGATCCGGGCCATAGTCTTCACAGTTACTTGCTATGCATCAGAGAGCTGGGCAATGACTAGGGGTAATAGAAGGGGAATTGATGCCTTTGAGCTGTGGTGTTGGAGAGGTGTATTGAATATACCATGGACTGCTAAGAAAACAGGTTTAACCCTGGAGAGGGTTAAACCAGGCAGCTCTTTGGACACTGGAACTTCATCTGACATACTTTTTACATGTTGCAAGGAGGGACCAGTTCTTGGAAAGGGGCATCATGCTGGGGAGAGTGGAGAGACAGCATAAGAGAGGAAGACCCTCGATGAGTTAAATTGACTCAGTGACTAGGGTAATGGCGGTAGGTGAATAAGATTGGCACAGGATCAAGCAGGGTTTAGGACTGGTACATAGGGTCACTGAGTTGCAAGTGACTCGATGGCACAGAACAACTCCCCAAAGTAGGATGCAGAACATTATCTTTGTGAACCGTGTTGCATCAATCAACCTTGATGTCCCCCAAGACCTCAGAACCAGCACCTCATTCTCTAAAGGGTATTTTATTCCAATGAAGATGCTTACCTAGCATTCTCCCTGTGTGCTGTGTTATATGCATACATGTATTTACAGCACATACTAATGTGAATCTAGAAATATTATCCGCCCAGCCTGTGACTGTCGACCATGAGACTTAATATAAGACAAGTCTGTCTTGGACGAGATGCAAGCCGCACACTCCTTCGAGGCAAGGATGATGAAACTTCATCTCACCTGCTTTGTGCCTGTTGTCAAGAAGGGCTCAGGCCTTGGAACGAGGCATCATGGTGGGAAAGGTGGAGGGTCAGAGGAAGAGAGGAAGACCCTCAGTGAGATGGATCGATGCAGTGACCGAAACAGAGGGCTTGTACATGATGGGGATCATGAGATGCTGAAGGCTGGGGCAACACAGGTTCTCATCTGTTGTTCGTAGGGTCACTGAAAGTCACTGTCCACTTCCTTGTTGGTACCTAGAGGCAGCAGCAATGCTGGGTAGCCCAGGTCAGCATGGTGAGCACCAGGTTTCTGGGATAAGAGAAGGAGAAATAAAGGGAGGTAAAGGAATGAAGAGGGAAAACAGAAGAAAAAGAGAGGAGGGAGGGAGGAGAGAAGGGAGAGGCAGAGAATGAGTGGAAGGGGAACGGAGGTTCGAGGAGGGCAAGGGGAATGAAGGAAAAACTGAAGGAGGAAAGGGGGGGAAATGATTTAGGGGCAGTCTTGGGCCCCCCTCACCCAGGGAAGCACCTTTGTTACTGTTGTTGTATGCCATTGAGTCAGAACCGACCCATAGCTGACCCTCCAGTGGGTTTTCAGACACAGTTAATCATTCAGGAGGAGATTGTTCATCCTGCTCCCGTAGAGGGCCTGGTGAATTTGAACTGTGTGCCTTTGGGATTGCAGTGCAGCTTCTTACCACTAGGCCACCAGAGCAGCTGTGTTGTTCTATGCTGTGGAGTTGGGACCAACTCATAGCTGACCTTCTGGCGGGTTTTCCAAGGTAGTAAATTACCAGAGAGGAGATTGGCTGTCCTTCTTATGCAGCTGATGGCCTTGAACCGCTTGCCTTTGGGATTGCAGCACAGCTTCTTGCCACTAGGCCACCAGAGCTCCTAGGGAAACATCGTAGGAGTCTTAAAAACCTGTGCTCCAAGCTGACGTGTCTCTTTCCTCCTCTTATTCAGATGCTCACCCTGATGGAGACGCCGGTCCTTCAGGTACTGACCCTCTGCCCTCCGGAGCCCTAACAAGCAAAGAGAACCTAGAAGCCAGTGTGACCACGGCCCCCTCAAATCCAGCCCAGTCTGGGGAGGAGCTGCCGGACCTGGAGCCAGCAGGGACAGTGCTATCTGCGCATCCGGACACCTGGGCGCCGTCCACACTGCCCCCGGAGCAGCCAGGCACCCAGCATACCTTGACCCCCAGGAGGAAGCCGTTGTCCCCCAAGCAGGTGAACTCCGCCAGGAAGCAGCTGAGGCCGAAGACTACCCCCACCGCAGCCCTCCAGAAGCCGGGGTCCCAGCCATCTCCTGTGGAGCCAGGTGACGCCACCTCCACAGAGAATCCCCACACCCCGGAGGACCCAGACCTGTTCCCCTCCTCAGAAGCTGGCCGGCCTTCTCCCGAGGGGCCCCTCTGGGCGGACCAGGAGGAGGGCGCTGTCCCTACCACGCCTGCCCCCCTGCAGATCTCCCCATTCACCTCACAACCCTACGTGCCCCACACGCTCCCCCAAAAGCCGGAGCCGGGGAGCTCGGGGCCAGAAGAGGCTCATGAGGCTACTTCGGAGGAGGTCAGCCCCATAACCCTGATGGACAGAGGAGGTGACAACGAGCTGACCGGATCAGCGTCTGAGGAGAGCCAGGAGACGACCACGTCCACCATCGTCACCACCACGGTCATCACCACCGAGCAAGCCCCAGGTGGGGGTCTCCTACTCTCACCCCCATACCTCAGCCTCATCTGCCGTCTGTGGGCAGGGCCTCCCTGGGGGTCTGGGACAGGGCTCCTGAAAGGTCCAATCTCTGCCTTCAGCTGCCACCCACATGAGCTCCCCAGCGCTGCCCTTAACAACACCACACGCACTGCCTTCAAGTCCACACTGATGCATGACCACCTGTGTGTGAAAGGGCAGTGATTCCCTGTCTGTCATCCCCATGGAAACAGATTGCCAGGCCTCTCTTCCTCTGTGCCTCCTGGTGGATTCAGACCACCAAGCTTTAGGCTAGTAATCAGACTCCCCACAGACCTTCCAACCCTGATCCAGTTAAAGCTGGAAAAAAGCTGCCTGGTCCGTTCTGACTCACAGGGGTCAAACGAAACTCTGTGGAGAATGGTTCTGCTGTGAAACACGTCCGGTCTTCCGAGACGGGTAAAAGTATTAGCTCCGAGATCTAGGGGCCAGATGTCCAGGTAACTGCAGAAGGACGTCCTTGGTGCCAGCAGGCAGGCCTGAGCTGTTGTCTCAGGCAGTTGACTGGCCTCATCCTGGCATCTCCTGTTGTGGTTGTTGTCAGGTGCCATCAGGTCAAGAATGACTCACAGCCACCTGAACCTTGCTGTATCCGGCGCCAACCTCATCATCGCTGACATGCTTGAGCCCGTTGTTTCCTTCCCTTCGCTGCGTCAATCCCTCTTCTTAAAGGTCCTCCTTTCTTTCTCTGACCTTCCATCTTTCTAAGCAACATGTCTCTTAATACAAGAGCTGACAACATGCTCAAAATAGTAAATGAAATTTCACCATCCTTACCTCGAAGGAGCACCCTCATTGCACTTTCTCCAAAACACATTTATTTGTTCTTTTAGGAATGTTCAGTACTCCAACAGCGCCAAAATTTGGAGGCTTTAATTCTTCTGTCATCCTTGTTCATTGCCCCACTTTCAGAAGCATAGAAAGTAATGGAAAAGATTATAGCTAAGCCAGGTGCACCTTAGTCTTCAAAATGACATCCTTGCTCTTTCACAGTTTGGCACTAGCTTCTGATAGTTGCCGTCACCCTTGGCTCAGAGTTGGATCACTTCGGCCTCTGCCTCTTCCTTTGCATGGCCCTTTTCCTGCGTGCCTGCATCTCTAAGCCCGCTGCCATTGGAGTCCATTCTGATGCGTCCCAACCCTTCACCAGGTTTTCAAGGCTATGAGTTTTTATTAGAGGAGAAAACCCATCTTTCTCCCCTGGAGCCACTAATGGACTTTAACTTCTGCTCGTTCACTTCGCAGCCCAGTTAAAAGGTAATATACCACTGGACTTCCGTCTTCTGATGAACAGGCATGTCCTGTTTGAGCCCGCTCTGTTGTTAATGAATTACATCTATAAATATGCTGTTTCTGAAGAAGGTCCTTCTCACGTGTAGCTAGCTGAAGCTGCTTGTTGGAAAAGGATAACATGCTTGGAAAGGAGGGTCAACAGAGGAGCAGAAGATCCCCAAGGAGATGGATTGACGTCGTGGCTTCAGTTAAGTCTTAGAGGTGGTGCGGTTAACCCAGGATAGGGCAGGCTGGTCACAGGGTTGCTATGAGTCATACTCGAGTTGACTGCACCAAAAAACAATAACAACAACACAGGTACAGGACCTGAGCATGACTTGGGAGCTGGGGAGAGACACAAATCAACCCATCATGCCATCTTTTGATCAAAGACTGAGAGCGTGACCCTGTGAGCTCTGAATTAATAGCCTTGTTTGAAAGATGAATCAACAGAGGCCAGGATGACATGGGTAAAGAGCAGGATGGAAACTTATTTCCTCTTAGAAGTAGAATTTTTAGCAAAGTATTTTTATTGCTTTCTGTGCTTCCTTAGATAGGGCTTTTCCGTGCACCAGGGTCAGTAGACTGATATCAGTGTACAAGGACTTGAGACAAATACAATCATTGGATTGATCATCACAGATGAGCTCTACTTTTGAGCCCTGACTCTCAGCCTGTTTGCTGTGTGTGTGTGTGGTCCCATCACTGCCCCTCTCTGAGCTTTAGTTGTTGTTAGGTGCTGTCTGGTTGATCCTGACCCACAGAGACAGCGTTGAGCAACCTCAAAGTATTCTCTGCCTTTATTTTTGCAGAAGCAAGGGGCCAGGTCTTTAGCTTACAAAGACTCTGGGTGGATTTGAACTGCCAGCCTTTCAGTTAGCAACCAGACATCACAGAATGTGCCCCAGGTCCCTTTGAGCTTTTGTTTAGACATCCCTGATAACTTCGTCTGGGGGTGAGTGGGGGCTCATCCCCCTTGACGGTCACCGTGACACCTCCAAGCATGTATGTAGGAAGTGGTCATTTGTGTCAGCAACTGGCTTGTGTTGCCTCCAGAGGGCAGGAGGGGGTACAGCAGTGGGAGGGGACAAGGGAGCACAGGGGCCTGGAGTCCAGCCCCTGACCTCTAGGTGCTGACCGGGAGCTGTGCTTAATCTCCTAACGAAAGTGCCTCCCCCAGCTCTCTGCAGTGTGAGCTTCTCGGACCCCGAGGGTTACATCGACTCCAGCGACTACCCGCTGCTACCCTTGAACAACTTCCTGGAGTGCACGTACAACGTGACCGTCTACACGGGTTACGGGGTGGAGCTCCAGGTAACCCCCACACGCAGTCCCGGAACCTCTGTCCAAGTCAGGCTGCCTGTTCCGTCCTAACGCTCACTCACACGCTCTCTCCTGCTCTCTGCCTGGAATAGCGTGGAGCACAAGGAAGGGGTGTGCTGATGAGGGGTGAGACGTGACACCCAAAAGATCGTCCCCAGAGACTCTGCCTGTCAGCCTGTGTGTGTATACAGACACCGCACATCCGTAGACATTACAAACACAGACAGAGGTATAAACAGGCACACACATTCCAACTCACAGAGGTACACAGTGCATACAAACAGATACATGTATACAGACACACCCAGGCGTATAGACACACACACACACACACACACACACACACACACTCCGAGATACGTGCACATACACACAGGTAGACACATGGGCCCCCAGGTGCACGCACACAGAAGCACTGCACACACGTTCATAGATGCATGCAGAAACATCTGTAGACACATGTGTAGACATGCATAGATACCCAGACAGGCAGGTAAACAGGCACACAGAGCCACACACAGTCCCACACAGATACACACAGTTACAGACCCACAGGAATGCACAGTCACAGATGCACACATGTGTACACACACCTAGGAGCACAGGTGTGTATTCACAGAGCCACAGGCACACACACTCACAAAGACACAAGCATCCAGACATACAAGTGCACACACACTCAGGGATACCACACCCCCTCAGTTTTACTTGTCGCCCGTGAACTTGAAAATAGCACCCACGTGTCTTTGAGCTGAGAGGCCGTGGCTCCAGAATCAGACGTCAGGTTTTAAGTCCTTGACCTTCCTGGTAAAAAGCTGCTTGAACTTGAGGCACGGGGCTTCTTCACCTGTCTGAGCTCGCTCTCCTCGTAAACGGGATGGGATAATAATGTGTCTGCTTTAGTCTTGGGGGGAGCGATGATAACCAGGCAGGCAAAGGATTTGTCCAGAGGCAGAGGGGGCCTCTCCCAAAGCGGAGCAAGGGAGACAGAGCCAGAGGTACACGTCCCTCCATGGTGGTCAGCTGGTCACCCTGGTTCCCCCCCTTATCCGACCCCTTTATTTTTTTTTTCATTTTTTAAAAATTTTTATTTTTTATAATGCTGAATAGAGTTTCCATCTTAGTTTAAAAGTTGGTTTACATTTTTCAAAATGTTTTGAATATACTTTTTGTAGTCTGTTTGCTATTATCATAATTTTATATTATCAAAGATACAGATTCTACAGAATTATGTTCTTAGCAGACTGGAAAGCCAATTTCCTCTGTAAATTTTTGTGCACATTGCAGTAGAAAGTGTATATCTCCGACCCCCTTGTTTTTAGAAATTTTTTCACCTCTGAACCAAGGAAACATACCTAGGGGGTGTGGGAAGTCATTCTACTTACTGTCGAAAAGTAGGGAAGTGAGGGGGAAGTGGATGGTGCCCCTCTGAGCCCCTCTGGCCAAGGCCTGGAGGTGAGATTCTGCCCCTTTTCTGATGGGCCAGGAGAAGCAGTGGAAGCGTTTGAGGTCAAGCCGTGTGACCTTCTAGGGCCCAGACTTGAGGATGAATACTGGAAGGTGCTGGAAGGACAAAGCTCAGCCCCTCTGCAGCCCAGAGTTCAACGCAGGGTGGCACCTTGTTGTTGTAATGTGCCGTAGAGTCCGGTACAGCTCAGGTGCTTGAAGAGCGCTCCTGGGCTTGGGATAAGCCAGGAGGAGCCTGGAGTGTATCTGATTCCACAGCTTCCTGAACCAGTAACACATCCCCGCTGGGGCCCAGCCCGGGCGCCCACAGGTCACAGGCCCCTGTAAGCCCTCTGCCCCAGCTCGGTCTCATTGTGTTCCTTCCTAGCCCTGAGAGAGTCAAGTGCCCACATGCAAACAGAGCTGCACTGGGGCAAATAGGTCCCAATTCCCGGCTGGTGGGTTGATATCACCCAGCAACGTCTGGGCTGGTGGGAGCGAGGGACGGGTGCCATGCAGCATTGTCGGGCCAGTCTGAGGGCACAATGTCTGGGCCAGTTGAAGGGTGTCCCACGGCAGCACCTAGGCCACTTGGGGAGATGCCTTGGCGGTGATGGGGCTCCTTTGGGGATGCCTCACCATAGCACCTGAGCTGATGGGGATGTCACATTAACAGCCGCAGGGCCTGGGGGTCCTATCTCTAACATGACTCCGTCTGCCCGTCTTTGTGCCCAGGTGAAGAGCGTCAATCTGTCTGAGGGGGAGCTGCTGTCCATCAGGGGGGTGGATGGCCCCTCCCTGACCGTCCTTGCCAACCACACGCTCCTGGTGGAGGGCCAGGTGATCCGCAGCCCCACCAACACCATCTCCATCTACTTCCGGACCTTCCAGGAGGACGGCCTTGGCACCTTCCAGCTGCACTACCAGGGTAGGCGCTCCTTGGGAAGCAACATGTGCCTCGGTTTCCCCCCGGGAGCCAGGGGTTCCCAAACTCTCCATCCCATGGACTCATCTGCTCAAAAAACCCCACAGGCCCTTTGATGAAATAATGTTTTTGAAAGCGTGAAATACCAGTACGTACAATTAAAAGGAGAGGCGTTTGTATTTGATTACAGTTGTCAAAATACAGTTTTAATCTTTGATGCAGTCATCTATCTGCCCCTTCGCTAACACATTAAATAATAATATTGAGTGGGGACTCTCTGTGAGTTACTGTCATCTCCGAGTGCCAAGAAGCACAAAGAATCCGTCATAAGAATGTTACCATTCTGTTAGGATCAGAAGACGTCTGCGATTTCTTCTGACGGCAAAGTCAGGGCTGCTCCTTCCAAGGGCCTCGTGATTTGCTTTCACCCCCAGGACTGAAGGGGTCGCTGCAGTTCTGTGAGAAGTTGGGGGAAATAGGCCAACTGTTCACGTTGCCCATAGAGTCTAGCTCAGCTCGAGGCGTGCCTAATATGAATACACACGTTCTAAACCCTGCCCCATCCTGAGCCATCCTCGTTGTTGAAGTCTTCCTCTTTCATTTACCCCGTGAGTATTGAACATGGAACCCCTGAGCTTCCACCAGCTCTCTTCCATCCTCTGAAATCTCTCTCCCCCCTCCCTCTCTCCCCCTCTCCCTCTCTCTGTCTCACTCTCCCCCTCTCCCCCTCTCCCTCTCTCCCTCTACCTCTCTCTCTCTGTCTCTCTCTTCCCCCCCTTTCTCTCTCTCCCTCTCACTCTCTCTCCTTCTCTCTCCCCCCCTCCCTCCTTCCTTCCATCCCTCCTTCTCTCTCCCCTTTCTCTATCTCTCTGCTTGCTCACTTTCTCCAAGTCCACTCCCTTATGATTTCTGCTCTCTCCTTTTCCTGCCTTTCTTTATTGCCTCTTTTCTTGTATCCCTCTTCTCTTCATCCACCCTCCATCTGTTCTTCCTTCTTTTTCTTCCCATCTAATTCTCTGCCTCCCTCCTTTCTTTCCCCCTCTCCTCCATCCTCCCATTCTCCACTTCCTGAGATGTTCCCAGTTTCTCAGGTATCATTTCCCTCCCCAGGGGCTTCCATCGGGTCCTTGCTTCTACCAGAATAGCTGAACGGAAATCATCCAGTGTCATTAACATCTGGAGATGAGAGGCTTCCCCTGGCCAGACTATTTTGGGGGGGGGGGGAATCTTTTTATTTGCATGAAAGTTTACAGACCACACTGAAGTTTTTAAATATACATTCATTCATAGACATTTTATTGTATAACACTAATTGCCTTTGATTAATATAATTAATCAGTTATAATGTATAATCAACCCCTGGGGAGCTCTGATGGCCGAATGGGGAGGGAGTTGCATTGCCATCCCAAAGGCAGGCAGTTCAAATCTACCAGCTACTCTGAGGGAGAAAGATGGGCAGTCTCCTCCCGTGCAATTTACAGCTTCTAAATACCAACTGGAGGGTCAACGATGAGTCTGTCCTGACTTGACATCATTAGTTAGTTAGTTAGTTAGTTTCCTTGTATATAGCTTTTCTCTTCAACAACTTAGCTACTTAATAATTTTTACTTTCTTCTTTCTCCTTTCCAATCCCTGTTTTGCCTCCAGAAATAATTCTGTGTGTAAACCTTTCCTTAGCTTCTTTTTTTTTTCACTAGTTTGTTCACAAAATTCTAATACAAATTGGAACAAATTCTTTCAATTTCCCTCAACCCCCCCATCAAATTGTACAACCCAATGATTAATCCCCTCTTCCCCCTGTACCTCCACATCCCTCTGCTTCCAGCCTCTCCCACCCCTCCTGGATCCTTATACTCCTTCTATAATAATGGCCTTATACAATATTTATCCGTGTGAGATTGAGTTAGTTCACTCAGCATAATGCTCTCCAGTCCCTCCCAAGTTAGGTAATAATTTACAAAGTTATTGCTCCTGCGTGCTGTATAGTATTCCATTGTGTGAATACACCATAATGGTCTTGCTATGATTGGTTTATTCCACTCAGCATAATTTGTTGTAGATTCATCCATGTCATACACTATTTCACAAGTTCTTGATCTTTTTTTGTAATTTCTTAATCATTTTTGTGTGAATATACTATAGGGTATTTTTGTCATTTTTTTTACTTGATAGACATTTGGATAAAAACAACTCATTTTTAGCATTTCTTTATGAAGCAGATAGATAGGAGAGTGCCCATCTCATCAAAGCCTCTTTAATATTTGTCATCTTTGTTCATTGAGAATGAAAAAACAAACAATCAAGAATGTTGAGCCATAGGGTTCATTCCTAACAGTTGCCCTGGGAATGCTGATACTTCCTGTTGTGGGACCTTGTAGGTGGTGCAGTAGGTTCATAAACTCATTTATCCATTGAATGAATGGTTAGCCCTTCAGATGCACACAGAGGAGCCTAGGAAGAAAGGCTTGGCAATCCACTTCTGAAAAACCAGCCCTTGAAAACCCTGTGGAGCATAGTTCTTCAACTCTGACACACAGGGAGATGTCGTAAGGCAGAGACCACGCCGTGGCAAATGTTACTCACGATTTGATGTTGCAGGGGAGGTCGGATGATAAGCTAGGGCTACTGCTAAGATGGATTGAAGAGCTGCTTCTGAAAAATGGAGCAGCACAGAAATCCACATGCACCCTTTCCTCACCTTTATACAAGACATCCATTTAAGGACACTTTCTCAGTGTTACCTCTAATCAAGTGGAGTTCATGGCCATTTTTAAAGGTTACAGAGTGTCGGGGATTGATTTTTCCCTGTCCCTAAAAATATCTTTTTTTTTTTTGGAACATGACTTTGAGGGGCTTGACAGTTATGTAATGATATTGTTCAAGCTCTTATAAGATTATGTCATAATGATATGATTTAGCTGATATAGTCAACTAATCAATGGAGAGAGGATTAGGGGGGCATGTGGCATCCTTACACAGCCCAATGTTAAGAGGTGTTTCCCCAACATGTAGCGTGCATGAAGTGGAAAGAGAGAAAAGCAAGCGCAGAGAGAGGTAACTCAATATACAACCAAGAAAGAAGAACTGAGAGAAAATCAAGTTCTTTCAACCCAGGGTCCCTGTGCTGAGAACCTCTTAGACTCAAAAGATGATTCATGCCAAGACAGTGCAAGTCTCCAAGAAATTGAGCCCCCAGATGAAAGGAGACAAGGACCTTCCTCCAGAACCAGCAAGGAGAGAAAGCCTTCCCTACATCCAGCACTCAATTTGGACTTCTGTCCACCTGAACTGTACATAGAGGAGCTCTGGTGGCCTACTGGCAAGAAATGATGCTGCCATTCCAAAGACAGGCTGTTGGAATCCACCAGTTGCTCAGAGGAAGAAAGGTGGGCAATGCTAATAATTGTTTATAGTCTCTGAAAACCTGCTCGATGGTCAGCTATGAGTCGGTTCCAACTTAATGGCAACAAGGCTGTTTGTTTGTTTTATGTAGGCTGTGTTTTCCAAACTAGAAAACAACATGTAACAAGAGACACAACAAACTATGTGCTAGTAATTTATATTGATTACATGAGTTGTTTCATAAAATTGCATGTGGTAATGAGTTGAAAAACATTTCAAAAAAGAAACAACAGATTTTTCTCTGTGTGTGTGGTGTGTGTGTGTGTGTGTGTACAGTTAAACTGAATCTGACTGGTACAGGAGGAGATTGCCCCTCCTTCTCCAGCAGAACATCTGGTGGATTCGAACCACGCACCTCTGGGAATGCAGTGCAGCTTCTTGCCACTAGGCCACCAGAGCTCTCTGAAATAATTAACTTTGAAAGAATACATTTCATTTTGTGAAAGCTATCCCCTTGTGGCATTTTCTGTTTAAAAGGCAATAAGAAACAGAGTTGGTTTCTAAGTGATAGAGCAAGGAGACTAACTCATATCGTTCTCCTTCCAAAGTCCAAGCCCACAACTTGTCCCCGGATATTTGTTCTCGCTTTGACAGCCTCTGGCATTACTGGAAGAGGTCATTATTTTAACTGATCAAAGTTGTGTTTGTAGCAGATGTGTACACAGGTGGGTCATACCTGGGGACAGACCGTTCTCTGCCCCCTTGAAGAGAGCTTCAAACAAGATGTGTACATCGAAACCAAACCCCTCATTGGTGAGTCCATTCCAGTTCATAGCAAACCTCTGTGTGACAGATTAGAACTGCTCCATATCGGTTTTCATGACTGTAATCTTTACAGAAGCACATCGTCCATCAAGCCTTTCTTCCGAAGTACCACTGAGTGGATTCAAACTGTCAATCTTTAGGCTAGAACTGAAGGCAAAAACTCTTTGTTACCACTCCTTTAAACATGGTACAGAAGTCTCATTTTTCACCCTCAAATCAGAAACCCCTGGTTAAGCCCAAAGAGAGAATTTGATAGCCTAAAGAAAAGTGCTGATGAGAGCTTTCAGTACCATCTGATCGGTGAAAGGCCCAAAAATACCTTGTGCCATTCCAGCTTCCTCCTGGAGCCTCAGCTCTGCTCTTGGGTACAGATCATCTCCAGAATGTCGGTCACATTCTTGGTTCCCCACAGAGAGATGACTGAGCCTGCTTTGCTCTCTTCCAGCCTTCATGCTGAGTTGCAACTTCCCCCGCCGGCCCGACTTTGGGGATGTCACTGTGATGGACTTGCACTCAGGTGGGGTGGCCCACTTCCACTGCCACCTGGGCTATGAGCTCCAGGGTGCTAAGACGCTGACATGCATCAACGCCTCCAAGCCCCACTGGAGCAACCCGGAACCCATCTGCTCAGGTATGTGCGAGTTCCACCCGATGGGCAAACTGAGGGGCGCCAAACACTAGAGGCTGTCAAGATAGACTGTGTCCTGGGGAAAGGATTCCTCCACTGTGTGAGTGACAGCCATCATTCTCAGTTTTTTTTCTTTTTATTGCAATACAAATATGCATAACATGAAACTTTTCCATTTGTTGTTGTTGTTGTTTTTGTTAGCTGCCGTCTAATTGAGGATGACTCAGAGACTGTATGAACAACAGATCTGAACCCTGTCCTATCCCATGCCAACCTCAGAATCTCTGACACACTCAAGCCCATTTGCCACAGTAAGTGCTGTGTCAGTCCACCTGGTTGAGGGTCCTCCTCTCTTTCACTCCCTCTCCACCTTCCTATCCAAACATGATGTCCCTGTCTAAGGAATAGCCTCTCCTAGCAACATGCCCTAAGTATGTGAGATGAACCTTCATCGTCACTGCCTCCCAGGAACACTCTGGCTGCACCGTCTCCAAGACATAGGTGTTTGTTCTTTTAGCAGTCCATGGGACCTTCAGCGCTCTTCTCCAACCCCAGCAACTCAAAATCATCACTTATTCTGTCATCCTTATTCATTGTTCAGCTCTCTGATGCATAGCCAGTGACTAAAAAGACCATCACCTGAATCAGGCATACTTTAGTCCTCAAACTGACGTCATTACCCCTCAGTAATTTGGCTAATACTCCTCTGTGATTTCTCCATTAATGGCATTTAATCCAACCACAGCATTGTACAGTCACCATCCCTATCTTGTTCTAGAACATTCTCATCACCCCAAAAGAAGACTCTCGCGTCCATGAAGCAGCCATGTGTCCTTTCTCCCACCCTCCTAGCCCCTGCCAGCCATGAACATGCCTTCTGCCTGTGTATTTGCTTCTTCTGAATATTCAGTATGCATAGAATCGTAGAATGTGGCTTTTTGTGTCTGTAGCTCTTCATTCGGTATAATGTTCTCAAGCTTTATCTCTCTTGAAGTCTGTATCGGACCTTTATTTCTTCTGTGGTTGAGTGGAAAAGGAGCTGCGCTGCAATCTCAAAGGCAGGCAGTTCAAGGTCACCAGCTGCTCCGTGGGAGAAGGATGGGTCGTCTCCTCCCATGCAATTAACTGCCTCAGAAAACCCTCTGGAAGGTCAGCAGTGGGGTGGTTCTGACTCTCCAGTACGCAACAACAACAGCAAAGCCCTAGTTGTGTGGTCCAGGGAGACACTCACTACTAGCCGAAAAGCCATGGCTCTGTGGTATTTCACATCCACCAGCAACTCCGCGAGTGTCCTCTCCAGTAATTTTTCTGCCTCCAGAATCCTTCTAGAAGGTCATCCATAAATTGGTTTCAGCTCCGCAGCAGTGACTAAACAGCCATTGTGTGACTGTACAACCTTTTATTGCTCCATTCATCAGTTGATGGGCATTTGCGCTTGTTTTCGCCTTTTGATTATCGAGAAATTGGCGCCGCTATGGAAATTTGTGCACAAGTTTTTATTCGAACATCTGTTTTCAGTTATTTTTGGTATATGCCTAGGAGTGGAATTGTTGGGTCCTAGAGTAACTCGCCTGCTGTAAAAGACACTTTATAAAGTGTTCAAAGGCAAAGACGTGGATCTGAGTACAAGGGCATGCCTGACTCAAGCCACAGTACTTTCAGTGGCTTCCTGTGTGTGTGAAATCTGGACAAGGAATAAGAAAACCTAACGCAGAATTGGTAGCTTTGAATTACAGTGCTAGCAAAGGATACTGAGCATACCCTGGACTGCCAGAAGGACAAGGAAATACGTCTTGGGGGAAATAAAGCCAGAATTACTCTTTAAAATCAAAGACGTCAAGACTTCATCTCAGGTACTTTGGACATGCTATGAAGAGGGGCTAGTCCCTGGAGAAAAGAGGGTAAAGGAAAGATCTGCAGTGAAATGGATTGGCACGGTGACTGCAACAATGGGCTCAAACAGCAGCAATTAAAATGATGACACACGAGGAGGCAGTCTTTATTTCTGTTGTGCAGAGAGTTGCCATGAGTCAGAATTGACTCAGTCGCACTTAACAATATGGCAAATTATTGAGGAATTACCAAACTGTTTTCTGTAGTAGTTGCATCATTATACAGGCCTCCAGCATTGTAACAGGATAGTAGTGCTTCCATATCTTCCTCAACACTTAATTTCTGTTTTTAACCATAGAAGTGATATCTCCTTGGGTTAATGCTTAGTGACTGCTGGTGCTAAGCATCTTTGTATGTCTTTGTTTGCCATCTGTATATCATCTTCAAAGAAATACCTATTCAAGTCCTCTGTCCATTTTTTAATTGCATTGTCTTCATGTTGAGTTGTGAGTGCTCTTTACATATTAAGGATACTAAGCCCTTACAGTTTTAGTTTGCTTGGCTCCACAATCAACATTCTTGGCACCAGCAGCCAGGAAATTAAAAGATGCATTGCAATAGGAAAGTCTGCTGTTAGGGAGCTCTCCAAAGTACTGAAGAACAGTGGTGTCTCTCTGGAGACTAAAGTGTGCCTGATACAGGCCATGGTCTTTGCAGTCACTTGTTATGCGTCAGAGAGTTGGACAATGACTAAGGAGGATAGAAGGAGAATTGATGCCTTTGAGCTTTGGTGTTGGAGAAGAGTATTGAGGGTACCATGGACTGCTAGGAAAACAAACAGATTCATCCTGGAAAGGGTTAAACTGGGTGGCTTCTTGGAGGCAAGGATTCTGAGGCTTCATCTGGCATACTTTGATCATGTTGTAAGGAGGGACAGGTCCTTGGAGAGGGACATCATGCTTGGGAGGTTGGAGGGCAGGCGCAGGAGGGGAAGGCCCTCTATGAGGTGGATTGATTCAGTGACTGGGGTAATCAGGATGAGTGTGTCAGAGACAATGAGATTGGCAGAGGACAGAACAGAGTTTAGGGCTGTTGTACATAGGGTCGCTATGAGTCGCAAGTGACTCAACAGCACGTAACAACAACAAGCCCTTATTTTCTCCTGTTTTGTGTTCTATTTTAGTTTTCTTTCTGTCTTATTCTTTGGGATTTTGGGGAGGTGGATGTTTTCTTTTTTATAGTACTCTTTTAGGCATAAAGGTTTTTCCTTTTTGTTAAGCACAATTTGCTTTTTTATTGTTGTTGTTGTTGCTTGTGCTTTGGGTGAAACTGCTATCATATTTAACTCAATATGTGCTAAGCACCATGCTGTTGCTGCTTTTGTTGATGTTGTTGTTGTTGTTGTTGTTGTTGTTGTTGTGTACCATCGTAACTAACCCTCTGGTGGGTTTTCAGAGGCAGTTAATTGCATGGGAGGAGATTGTATAGAGATCGTTTATGTCCATTTTACAGAGGAATAAACTGAGATGGAGTCAGTTGCCCATGGTCACCAGATAAGAATTGTTGGTGGCAGCCTGCTAACTAAATCAGAATCCTTCTAGAAAAGAAAAGTGAATTCCTACTATATGCCCAGTTGTGATATCAAACTTCATTTATGAAGAAGAGGAATCCAATATGCAAATGAGAACTGATGATGAACCCTGAGATTTACTTGTTGGACTACATTTCCCCAAGGCTTTTCAGAGTTTACTTTTATTTTTCCCTCTGGTACCATGTAGTTGTTTGTTGTTGTTAAGTGCCATCGAGTCACTTGGGCCTCATAGCGACCCTATGTACAACAGCCCTAAATCCTGCTCTGTCCTGTGCCAGTCGCACTGCCTCTGACACACCCATCCTGATTACCCCAGTCGCTGAATCAGTCCACCTCATAGAGGGTCATCTGGTACCATAGAAGAAAAAAAATCTCATAGTTCAATTGGTCTCCATGTTTTCATCATGTTAATTTTTATCTGTGTGTGAAATCAGAGAGGAATTAAGCCTCATTTTGTGGTAAGAAAGATAGATGGAAAGTCATGGCCGGCAAATTGAAACCAAACAGAGCTGTCAGTCCGCTTAATAAAGCAAAAACAAGAGCAGAGAAGCACCAAACGAGTGGCCGCTTGGGAGGACAGATGGCCGGTGCCCCCAGCCAGGCAAGAGTCCCCCTTTTCCTCAGTTCTTGAGCCACAGGGTGATAATACCCACTGCATTTAAGGCATTTTGACAGTGCCACATCCTGTGCCAGGCCTTCTGCATGCACCACCCCACTGATTTCTCACCACAGTCCTATAAGGAAAGTAGAATTAGAATCACTATTGTACAGTGAGTGTATTTAAGACTATCCAGAGGGTATACAGTTAAAAGTCAGAGAAAATGAAGGGAACCCTCAATGACATCAGTGGACACAAGCAGAGTCATCTCCATGACAACTAACAACAATACAACTTGAGGTTCAGGGAACTTAACATAAGTTTACCTAAAACGATAGATGGCACAGGTAAGATGTGGACCTAGGTCTGGTTCATTTGGAAGAACAATCTCGACTAGAAGAAAGAAGAAAGAAAAGGAATGCGAGAGGAAGAAAAAAAATTAAAGCAAGAGGAGGAAAAAAGATATTTTCAAAAAGAAAAGAAGAGTAGTCTGGAGAGAGAGGAGAGAACTGGTTCTCTGTCCGTGGTCTTGAACGCAGTGTAGTCTTCGTGGGCATTCAGTTTGCTGTGTGTCATAGCAGAAAAGTCCAGAAAGAAATGAGCCTGGTTTCCCACTCTCCTCTCCTGCTGCACTTTCTCCTCAATTAATGTAGTCATTCAGCACAAGTTTGATGAGTACCTGGCACAAGCCATACATTATTACCCTAACTCCAGGGGAGCAAAAAGGGAAGAAAATCAAGTGTTTTTACTCAGCAAACATTCATAAAGCCCTTGCTGTTTTCCCTGTGCAACCAGGGTGCTCTGTAGAGACAAGGATGCTGAAACTTCTCACATATTTTAGGCATGTTGTCAAGAAGATTCTTGTTTATGAGAAAAGACTTCATGCTGGCAAAGGCCAGAGAAACAAAGGACTCACCTTAACCAGATGGATAGAAACATTGGCTGTAACAAGTTTGAGCAAGGCGCTCTGGTAGCCTAGTGGCAA